TCCCCCTGCCTGCTCCGTTCCCCTCCGGATCACTCATTCCTATTTTAATGTCTGTCTTCCTACATCAGAAGGAAGAAAGCAGGGATTATTTTAATCCCGTATGCGTAGTGCTTACAGTGGTCACTGGCACATGGTAGGCCTTCAAAAATAATAGCTGAATAGAAGAATGAATTAACACAAAGAAAGAAGATACAAGTACTTGATCTGGGAGTTTCTTAAAATCACTTCGGTTCGAGTTCTGCCAAAACTATCCTGGGAGACTCTGGGCGGACCGCTTCCCTCCTCCAAGGCCGAATTCCCCTTCCTCGGTTAGCACGCCTCCAGCAGAACGCGTCCCCGCGCGCTGTTCTTAAACCCGTTAAAACGCGTTTCCTTACGATGCCCCCCGGAGTCGTCATCTACAGGATCATTATTTTTCCAGTTTTATCTTTGGCTTGATCGGGACTACTTTCCTTTAGATTCTCTGACACAGCAAGAAAAGCTGCAACGTATTTTGATAATTCTGTCACTTTCTCACATGATTCTGAAAATAAACCAGTGGTCATTTGTATCCAGAACTGCAGGTTTACCTTCATGTAATTAAAAATTCATTAACTGGATTAGGTTACTTTTATCTCATTTCTGTCACAGTCACCCTATGGCACAGAATTCTCAAATATTTGACACCGTTTTTCCCCCACCCTTCCTCCCTCCTTCCTCTCTTTCTTTCTTTCTCTTTTTTCCAAAAACAAATTTGTTTCAAGAGCCTTGTCCTGTAGCTGTGCTGCAGACTTCCCTTTAACTCATGATGGAATCGCATTCTAATCGGACCCTCCTTTAAAGTATCATAAGCCCCTTCTTAACATACACAAAATAATGTTCACAAAGGCAAACATCAAATTAGAAAGTAAAATAAAATGGTCACCCATTATGGGCTCGGTCGATAACCTTAAGAACATTAATCCATTTGTTAATATTGGTGACTAACATTTTAGTCCCAGTGACTTCTTGGCCCTAAACTCTAGTTTCAACCATCTCACCACACTTACTTCAGCATCAAATCCCTGTGCATTCTCTCTTTGGATCTGTTTTACAGCCCACTCATTCATTCAACAAATATCACGTATCTACTATGTGACCCATCCAGAGCTAGGCACTAGTGAAGCCACAGCAAAAAAGGGATTCATAAATGTTTGCGGCTTACAGTCTTACATTCCAGTGGGGACAAGTAAACAGTTATACTAAGCCACATTAAAATAATACACACAGCAAGTGATAATGGTGAGGAGAAAAACTAGATCAGGGAAGGGAAGCCTAGGCTGTGTGCATGGGGACTGCATTTTTAAACGCAGAGGAAACCATAAAAACCCCAAGAAAGTGATATTTGAATAAATAAGGTAGTTATTCAGCAAGCCAGGTGAATGTCTGGGGAAAAGTATTCCAGACAGACGAACGCAAATGCAAATGTTATTCTAATTATTCTAATTCAGGAATACCCTAGGTATCACTCAGGTATACAAGGAGGTCAGTGAGCGAGGAAGGGGAGAAGAGCAGAAGCTGAAGGCAGAAATACAATGGGGATGAGTGGAGTGTGACCTCCCAGTGAGGCGGAAATCCACTGGCTTTGGAAGGTTTGGAGCAAGTCAAAGTGCTGGGTTTTAACTTATTCTCTGAAATACTGTTCTTTGCTTCAATAAAATTACACTTCAGAAGAGTTTGAAAAACAGGAGAGAGAGAGATATATATTTATCTTTACAAAGATTTAAAACTTTTTACAGTGTCATGGCATTATAAAAGGTAATATATAAGCTCTATTTTGATAGCATAAAACAATTACTGTTGATGCATCTTGCAGATTATTTTTTAACGCTTGCATATTACGCATCGCAATGGCTCCTTTGGAGCTATTGAATCGTAAATGACAAATGGATATTACAATTTTGCAGGTATCCAGCATCTAGAAGAAAGCTATGCTGTATAGATTTTTCTTTACTAGTATCATAAGTAGAAAAATTAGAAGTCTTATTCCCATATTCACTGTGTGTTTATATAATATGTATTATCAGATACGTGTGCAATGAAAACAGAAACTACTGTGTATGGAAAATTCTAAATTTCTGCCACTATTCCATTTTCATGAAGAAGCAATTGATAAACTAGTGTATTTCAAATGCTCTTTTTTAGATTAGTGTGTTACGAAAACGCCCTTTGTGGTTACTGAGAGCTTAGTATCTATCTCATCATGCAATCACATATTTAAGAATTGTCACATTGCATATTGTTTTAAATATAGCCAATATAATGATATGTTTCAAGTACAGGGGCACACATGGAACATTTCATTGAAACACATCCCTTTCTCTGACAATTACAGGGTCTTCAATGTTACCGAACTTAGTTATGTTGGCCTATGTACATCTGCTACCTTTGTCAGTGACCCCATGCCCTCAACCTATCTGTAATTCTCAAGTAATTCACTTCACGAGAAATCAATT